TGGAAAGGAGCTCACACCATAGAGCCCAGACAGAATTATATAGTGTAGTATGTTTTATTAAAAGCTCTGTTAAACAAAGCTAAAAACAACCACATGGATGCATCAAACAATCAGTCTGGACTTACAGTTGATGGCAACTGCTCCGAATACCGGAAAAGGTGGCATGATGTTGGCACGTAAGGTCCCTCCCAACATGTTTTGTGTGCATGCACGTCCTCAGGGGACACGCCTACTGAGTAACCAGGTACGCCTACAGGTGACCAGGGACTGGGACGCTGGAATGACTGCATTGGCTATAATACATGCATTTGCATTTTATGCCTCTGGTGAGAGCTGGTGTTACGGGGAAGAAGATTTTTGGTCATTTCCTTCTCTATACACTGTTTTGGACACTATATGAAGTTGGATATACACTGTATTGATTAAACTTTTTCATTTTATTTTTGTTATCATTTTGAGTATTGGTCCAGATGTGATTTATATATTAATACTGGGAGTGATTTGCTTTGCAGACATATTATATATTGCTGATTTTTCATGTTTAAGGTAAAAAAACCGGTATCAATACACGTCTTTTTGCCAAGGTTAAGGTAAAAAAATGGTAGAGACAAGGACCTAGGATAGAACAATAATTTGAAAGAACCACTTTAAAATGACTTCCTATTTTCTAAATACTGCATAAATAAATAAATTAACCTTCAAAAAGGTTAATTAAAAAATATACTTTTTTTGGGTAAGAAACAGTTTTCTTTAAAATAGACTTTATAAACCAATAGTTTAGTAAAACGTCCATTCAAAAGTGTGGGAAATATCACATTGAGATGTTAATTTCTGATTTAAATTTAGTTTAACACTTTTTACAGAGATTTACTGGTGGTAAAAGTATGCCGATGAATGCATAACATTTTTAAACATATCTCACTGAAATTAATTAATTTAACAATCACTTATAGTAAACATGTCTTTAGATTTTATCTGCTCGGGCCAATGTAACAAAATGTGTGCAGATTTTTACAGCAAGACTGATAAAAAGAATATTTTTCTATATCATAGTAGTTTTCATATTTCTATTACAATAAAAGGAATACCAAAGGCATAATTTGTCTAAGTTTGAAGAATTGTATCAGTTGAAACCAAATTTAATTATGTAGCCTGGGGTCTGGTTAGATTTTTTGCTGTAAGATGTTACCATTTGCACTCACTTGATTAAACAAGAAATAGTTGAAAACAAACAGAAAGGTCATCCCTGTTCATGCAAAACAAGAGGTGCATTAAAAGAAGATGTTATGTGTTCTCTAGACTGTCATGTGGTTTCAGCAATGTTGTTTTTGAAACACTGGGCAATTTTAAGTCCAATAATATCAAATTAAGTATTTCTTTTAATAAACATACTTTAAAAAAGGTAAACTACCCTAGGTGGGGAATAAGAAAGGATATTCTTTTTATAATGCAAACCAATTGAAATGTCACCGTTTGGTCAACTTTATAGCTATAAACTCATATTAATAGCTGATACCACAGACATGTTTTTTTCTATAACTCACAATGCAAACAATTCCTACTACATGCACCTATAATCTTGATATGGTCTGAAAAAGCCATGTATATGTGCATACAGTATATATCAGCAGCACTGGAATTGCTCATTCAAGACTGGAAGCCAAAAAGCAGAATGCTTCACCTTTAAAAACAGAACGAGCCTGAGGCTGAGGAAACACTGGACTGATTTACATCTCATGGGCCTAGAGATGCTCTGTTATAACTGCATCAGAAAACTTATTTTTTATAATTACCTCTGTATCTAATTTTATGGTGCATATGCAGCACTGAAGGCAAAACTATCCATTTTATGCAGACTTCATCTCTAAAATCTAGTGGCCCAGAAGGCAATGTCCCTTGCTAATCCTCGATTTGAACAAATCTTCTAAGCTGTAGCATACTACAAACCTCACTGTAAATCAGGCCATTCATAACATCAACTTTTCATGTCATCCAATCTTTTTCAATTGTCTGGAACCCCAAAACGTGTTCAGTGCAATATAAAAAAAACACATTTATCTGTATTGCTCTAATATTACCCATGTCAAGATTTTATTAGAACAAGTAAACAGAAAGTGTAAAATGTTTTCTCCATTTACCATGTGGTCGTCTGTAATACAATCAGAATTTTCCAAACCATCTTCAAGCTTTTATCTTGGATCTGATTGGTTGAAAGCAGTTAAAATGGTTAAAAATATATATATTTTTTAGATTTGATAATCAACTGAGGAATCATATGTTTCATGGAATGATCCAATTGATATATGTAGAGATGAGCGAAGTATTCAAAAATTCGATTCGGCTGATTCGGTGAATTCGAGGAATAAATTCGATTCGATGCGAATATATTCGCTGCGAATTTAACTTATAAAAAGGTGTTTCTAGGCTTCAGAGAGCCTTTATATTAGTGCAGAACACTGTACCTTTAATTTAAATGCCCTTGGAGTCTGCTGGGGAAGAGAAATAATACTGTCAGCCAGTATGACATGCAGATGAGTGCCGTCGATCTTAGAATCACCGCACACTTCACTCATTTGGGCAGTCACGGTGCCAAAACCAGAGTGTGGAGCCACAGTGTGGCGGTGGAGGCAGCAGCAATGGGAGGCCTTACAGCACCCTATGACAAAATGGAACCCACCAGCAGTGTGAGGAGACCTGAAAGTGGCACATGGCAGAGTGTGGCGATGGAGACAGCAGCAATGGGAGGCCGTACAGGGACCCATGACAGATTACGGGCCTGGCAGCAGCATGAGGAGGCGGTACAGGGGCCCATGACAGATTACGGGCCTGGCAGCAGCAATGGGAGGCCCGTAATCTGCCAGCACCCTATGACAAAATGGAACCCACCAACAGTGTAAGGAGACCTGAAAGTGGCACATGGCAGAGTGTGGCGATGAAGTCAGCAGCAATGGGAGGCCGTACAGGGACCCATGACACACTCTGGACCTGGCAGCAGCAAGAGGAGGCGGTACAGGGGCCCATGGCAGAGTAGCGAAGCGTAAGCAGCTTAAATTGAAGGCCATACAGAGGCCTATGTTAAAAATAATAACATGTTTGGGGCATGATTCATGGCGGATTTAGTCAGTTGTGTCAGGAACTGGTGGTTTGAAATCCAGACTAATCCACGCCTGATTCATTTTCACAAACGTGAGTCTCTCCACATTTTGGGTGGACAGTCGTGTCCTCCGCGGAGTTACAATACCTCCTGGTGGAGCTGCCACTGCTCCTACCACCCCACCCCTCCCCTGCTGCCATGGCAGCGGAACGCGAGCGCACAGGGCCCACAGTGTCTGAGGATGGACGTTGGCGCAGAAAGGCAGAGACCAACTGACTACATAGGTGGTTTTTATAGTACGTTATTTTGGGCTCCCTCTCAGCAGGTGTGAAAAAGGCCACCATTTTTGAACGGTAGGAGGGTCCAACAAGTTGGACAGCCAAAAGTCATCCCTCTGTCTGATGGTTATTATTCGGCTGTCGCTACGCAAGCAACTGAGCATGCTATGGGCCATTTGTGCCAAGGAATGCGAGGGACTCCCTGCCTCCATCTCCACAGCATACTGCCACGGTGCGTCTGGGTCCTCTGTCTCCTCTTCCTCCCCCTCTACCAGATGCTCCTGCTCCTCCACTCCTGTCCGCTGAGTGGAAAAACCACCCATTTCACTCAATAATTCCTGAGCACCAAAGTCCTCCTCTACCTCCTCCTCTTCTTCCTGTCCTGCCCCCACAGGGGTCATGTGGCGTTGAGATCTGTGCGCCACGTCTACCGCACCCTGACCAGCCATTGTTAACAGCATTTGTTCCAGGACGTGCAACAGAGGAATGACGTCGTTCATCCCATAGTCCTGCCGACTCACGAATAGCGTGGCCTCCTCAAAGGGCCTGAGCAAGCGGCAGGTGTCACGCATGAGCTGCCAATGGCTGACATCTAAGTTACACAGGGGAGTACCTTTATCGGCTTGTAACATCAGGAAATCGGTGATGGCCTTTCGCTGTTCGTAAAGGCGGTTAACATATGTAGGGTTGAATTCCACCTTGTTGCAACGTCACAGCATGAGGAGTCGGTACGGGGGCCCATGGCAGATTACGGGCCTGGCAGCAGCAATGGGAGGCCCGTAATCTGCCAGCACCCTATGACAAAATGGAACACACCAGCAGTGTGAGGAGACCTGAAAGTGGCACATGGCAGAGTGTGGCGATGGAGACAGCAGCAATGAGAGGCCGTACAGGGACCCATTAGACACTCTGTACCTGGCAGCAGCATGAGGAGGCGGTACAGGGGCCCATGGCAGATTACGGGCCTGGCAGCAGCAATGGGAGGCCCGTAATCTGCCAGCACCCTATGACAAAATGGAACACACCAGCAGTGTGAGGAGACCTGAAAGTGGCACATGGCAGAGTGTGGCGATGGAGACAGCAGCAATGGGAGGCCGTACAGGGACCCATGAGAGACTCTGGACCTGGCAGCAGCATGAGGAGGCGGTACAGGGGCCCATGGCAGATTATGGGCCTGGCAGCAGCAATGGGAGGCCCGTAATCTGCCAGCACCCTATGACAAAATGGAACACACCAGCAGTGTGAGGAGACCTGAAAGTGGCACATGGCAGAGTGTGGCGATGGAGGCAGCAGCAATGGGAGGCCGTACAGGGACCCATGAGAGACTCTGGACCTGGCAGCAGCATGAGGAGGCGGTACGGGGGCCCATGGCAGATTACGGGCCTGGCAGCAGCAATGGGAGGCCCGTAATCTGCCAGCACCCTATGACAAAATGGAGCACACCAGCAGTGTGAGGAGACCTGAAAGTGGTACATGGCAGAGTGTGGCGATGGAGGCAGCAGCAATGGGAGGCCGTACAGGGACCCATGAGAGACCTGGCAGCAGCATGAGGAGGTGGTACAGGGGCCCATGGCAGATTACGGGCCTGGCAGCAGCAATGGGAGGCCCGTAATCTGCCAGCACCCTATGACAAAATGGAACACACCAGCAGTGTGAGGAGACCTGAAAGTGGCACATGGCAGATTGTGGCGATGGAGGCAGCAGCAATGGGAGGCCGTACAGGGACCCATGAGAGACTCTGGACCTGGCAGCAGCATGAGGAGGCGGTACGGGGGCCCATGGCAGATTACGGGCCTGGCAGCAGCAATGGGAGGCCCGTAATCTGCCAGCACCCTATGACAAAATGGAACACACCAGCAGTGTGAGGAGACCTGAAAGTGGCACATGGCAGAGTGTGATCTGCCAGCACCCTATGACAAAATGGAACACCACCAGCAGTGTGAGGAGACCTGAAAGTGGCACATGGCAGAGTGTGGCGATGGAGGCAGCAGCAATGGCAGGACCGTACAGGGACCCATGAGAGACTCTGGACCTGGCAGCAGCATGAGGAGGCGTGGTACGAGGGGCCCATGGCAGATTACGGGCCTGGCAGCAGCAAATGGAGGCCCGTAAGCTTTCCAGCACATCCTATGACAAAATGGAAAATCACACCAGCAGTGTGGTAGACCTGAAAAGTGGCTCATGGCAGAGAGTGGCGATGGAGACAGCATACAATGGGAGGCCGTTACAGGAACCCATGAAGAACTCTGCATCTGGCCAGCAGATCAGCTTAGGAGGCCTGGTTTTGTAGAGGGGCCCATGGCAGATAACGGGCCTGGCGAGCAGTACAATGGGAGGCCCGTAATCTGCCAGCAACCCTATGACAAAATGGAATAAACAAACACACCAGCAGTGTTGCAGGAGACCTCTGAAAGATGGCACATGGCAGAGATGTGGCCGTTGGAGGCAGCATCAGATGGGAAGGCCGTACAGGGACCCATATGAGATACTCTGGACCTGGCAGGATGTGAATTTTAATTTCAGCATGAAGGAGAGCGGTACAAGGGGCCCATGCGAGATTACGGGCCTGGCAGCAGCAATGGGAGGCCCGAAATCTGCCCGTTTTGGGTGGCAGTCTTGTCCTCCCCCCGGAGTTACAATACCTCCTGGGGAGCTGCCACTGCCCCTACCACCCCCCCCCTCCCCTCTGCCATGGCAGGGGAAGGGCGAGCGCACAGGCCCACAGTTTTCGAGGAGGGACTTTTGGGCAAAAAGGGCCCAAGACCAACTACTACATGGGTGTTTTTATATACGTTATTTTTGGGCTCCCTTCTCAGCGGGTGTAAAAAAAGGCCAACCTTTTTTAAAACGTACGGGGGTCCAACAATTTGGGAAACAGCCAAAAGCCCATCCCCTTTTTCCCTGAGGGTTTAAATTTTTTGGGCCTGTCGCTGGGAAAAGGAAAACCGACATGCTAGGGGCCTTTTGTCCCAAAGGGAAAATGCGGGGGAAACTCCCCCCCCTTCCCTCCACACATACGCCACGGTGCGTCTGGGTCCTCTGTCTCCTCTTCCCCCCCTCCTCTACCAATCCCCTTCTCCTCCACTCCTGCCCGCGAGTGG